AATCCCAGCTACTAGGGAGTCTGAGGCAGGAGAATCATTTGAACCCGGAAGGCAGATGTTGCAGTGAGCCGAGATCGTGCCACTGTACTCCAGCCTGGGTGACACAGCAAGACTCCATCTCAAAAAAAAAAAAAAAAAAAAAATCTGCCTCGGCTTCCTCAGAGCCACTGATATCACCCCTCAGGCGTTTCTTGGGGATACCCAAACTCTGTGACTCAAGATTGCTTGGGGATGCCCACCCCCACTTCCCCAACGCCGTGGGCATCAGATCCCAGGGGACCATCCCTGCCAGCATCCATCTCAATGACCCTGGGCTCCGTGGAAGGGTCTGCCCCCACTGCCCCCATGCCAGGGGAATGGGGACTCACAGGTCCCCCTGGCCCGACCCCTACCTCCGTGGTCCAGGGGTTCACCCCCAGCTGCTGGGCCAGCTCCAGGAAGGCAGGCAGCTGCTGGCGGTCCAGGAGCAGGTAGACAGGTACCCAGCGGCGCGTGGCAGCATCCACCAAGTCCAAAAGCAAGTCTGGGTCAGTGAAGACATCCATGACCACGGCCACCAGCTGGGGGTGGGGAGAGGGGAGGTGGATGTGTGAACGGAAGCTGGTTCGGGGGACATTCAGAGGGTGTGGGAAGCCTGACATCCGGAATCTGGGAGTAAAGTGCTCTGGGGGCTGGGAGTTTAACATTCAGGGGGCGCTAAAGGGGAGACTCCCAGACATATACTGCTGCTCAAACCGCACCTATGTGTGAATGAGCAAAACGCTGCCTCTCCATGAGATTCCCAGCCCCTTCTCAAGATTTCCGGCTCCTAAATGCTGGAAAATTGTTATCACAAATCATATGTTTGCTTGTTTTTCTTTTTTGTTTTTTTCGGGTTTTTTTGTTTTGTTTTTGTTTTTCTGTTTGAGACGGAGTCTCGCTCTGTCGCCCAGGCTGCAGTGCAGGGGTGCGATCTCAGCTCACTGCAAACTCCACCTCCTGGGTTCAAGCAATTCTCCCGCCTCGGCCTCCCGAGTAGCTGCAACTACAGGCGCCCACCACGCCCAGCTAATTTTTTGTATTTTTCGTAGAGATGTACTTTCACCGCGTCAGCCAGGATGGTCTCGATCTTCTAACCTCGTGATCCACCTGCCTCAGCCTTCCAAAGTGCTAGGAGTACAAGCGTGAGCCACCACACCCGGCTTTTTTTTTTTCTCTTTTTAAAGACGAAGTCTTGCTCTGTTGCCCAGGCTGGAATGCAGTGGCACAATATCAGCTCACTGCAACTTCGGCCTCCAGGGCTCAAGCTATTCTCCTGCCTCAGCCTCCAGAGTAGCTGGGATTACAGGCGCCCGCCACCACACCTGGCTAATTTTCATATTTTTACCAAATTGGCCAGGCTGGTCTGGAACCCCTGACATCAGGTGATCCCCCAGCCTCGGCCTCCCACAGTGCTGGGATTACAGGCCATGAGCCACCGTGCCTGGCCTACAAATCACACGTTTGTAACACAGAACATCGTCCCATGAGCTGCGACACCGTGGTGCCCAAATGTCCACGGCAGTTTGGCTCTAAGATCAGTGGTGGGTGTCCCATAGGGCACTGTGGGCAACTACATTTCTGGGTCCTGGGGAATTTTCTGGGTGCTGGGAGCAGGAGGGCTGACCTGCTAGGCCACCGTGGCGAACCTGGGGGACACGGAGGTGCTGAAGGCCTGGATATTGCAGGCAGCATAAAATAGTGGAAAACCGTGACTCAGCAACCAGACAGCCTGGGTTCAAATCCCCACTCGGCCACTTGCAGGGAAGAGATTTAACTGCCCCGTGCCTCCGTGGTCACAATAGTCCCTCTGGTGGCACAGGGTTCTGGCTCGATGATTCACATTAGTCCCTGGGAAGCCCTTCACATGGGAGCTGGCGGACACTAAGACTGTGAAGTACCTAGTGGGCTTTCCGAGGGCTACGGGGGGACATCTGGGTCCTCCTTGGAAGGAGAGTGGAGACCTCTGGTTTGGTGATGAGGGGATAAGGAAATGACTGAGACTGGGGGTGTCATAATTAGGCTCAAGGGGCATCGATACCTAAGGGCACCCAGGTCTTGAGGGAGGGTAGGGGCGCCCCCATTTTTCTTTTTGGCATGGAATCTCGCTCTGTCGCCCAGGCTGGAGTACAGTAGCTTGATCTTGGCTCTCTGCAACCTCTGCCTCCCGGATTCAAGCAATTCTCCTGCCTCAGTCTCCCTAGTAGCTGGGACTACAGGCACCCACCACCATACCCGGCTAATTTTTGTATTTTTAGTAGAGATGGGGTTTCACTATGTTGGCCAGGCTGGTCTCGAACTCCTGACCTCATGATCCGTCGGCCTCGGCCTCCCAAAGTGCTAAGATGACAGGCGTGAGCTGCTGCACTCGGCTGGGCCCCCCTTTCTGAGAGTAAGGATGAGGTCTGGGAGTGTAGGTACCTTGTCTTCCTGGGGCTGGCAGGTGTGGACTCCTGGGTCCCAGGGGTATAGATCCTTTAGGGTAGGGATGTGGGCTTGCAAGTCCCAGGAACACAAGGGAGAGAATGCTTGGGTCCCCGTCCCAGTCTGGGGAATGGACATGAAGCCCCTGCGACACCCACCTTGTGGGCAGCCTGGATCTCCAGCCGCACTAGCTCCTTGAGGGGCGGCTGGCCCTCTCCAGGGGGCTGGGTGTACAGCTGCGCCCGGGTGATGCCCTTCCACGCTGAGTCCACTGGCCAGCCCAGCCGCAGGATGGGTGCCGGCTGCTCCGACTGCCCAGGCCAGTAGCTCAGGCTGCCCACATCCCCATCAGCGGTGGGGGCTCCGTCTGCCATCCTGCCAGGCTCCGGCTTGGCCACTGTCCAGTCTTCAGCTGCCGCTGCCAAGCCCTGGACCTCATCTGCACTGAGGAAGGGCCGCAGCTCCTCGCGCTGCACACAGGCCTGAAACGCCTCCGCACCCTTGCTCAACAGAGCCTCCAGTGCCAGCCGCTGGCCCTCGGAATACAGGAAGCTGGAGCTCGCCCCGGGCACCCTGGGACCGGAGTCCACTCCTTCCAGCGCCGCCAGCTGGGAGGCCGCCATCGGGGTCACTCGGGTGGGAGGACTGACTGTGAGGGGCTGGGTCCCCGGGGGTCTGGCTGTCTTTGGGGACTGTGACCATCTGGGGGTTCTCCTGATAGGCAGACCCTATGTGGCCATCCGAGGCCTCCAGGGGGGCCCTGCAGATGTCCAAATGGCTCCCTGCAGCAGCCCCTGCCTCACTGTCCTGACAATCAGACTGCCCAAATAAGTGACTACCCAGTATGTCAGGCCACTCAGATCCGCCACCTGCCTGTGCCCAGGTGGCACCATGCCTGGCTGGCCTTCCGTGACCTTCCTGCCAGCCGTCTCTGCTGGTCAGGCTGACCTCCTGACACCATCCCCAACTATGTGGCCCATCAGCTGGCCATCCCTGCTCAGCCACACGACAGCCTCCAACCCACCAGTCACACAGTGCCCAGTCGGACCCTTTAGTCGTCCTGAATTTGGTCAGGCTGACCAGTTGATCGTTTCCAGGCAACAGGCTGTCTGCCTGTCTCCAATCACCCAGAGGTCCTTAAATAAAGGCACGGCAGGCTGCCTGCCTGCCCCAGACCAAGAGCACAATGAACTGATGCTCTCCTTTCACTGTCCGGCAAATGCCAGTGGCTTCCGACTGAGTCGCAGGATCTGGCTGCCTGGTGGATCATCTGTCTCTGGCTGAATCCAACGGCACCCACGAGTTTCTCCTACTCACCAGCTCTCACCTGCAGACCAGCCAGGATGCCTCTCCATTGGACCTGCTCGTTTAGCCTTAGAGAAATGCTGAAGGCTTGGCATACCCTTCCCTACCCTGTCAATGGGGGACCCTGCTCCCTGGACCCTCACACTCCCTCCAGCTGCCGCAGTGGAGGGTGACATGTGCCACACGGGTCTCCATTACTATGGGATGGGTCTATGACCTTGGCAGCCCATCTAGGTATGAGTGCCACCTAACCAACCACCCTCCTGAGGCTGGCTGTGCCTGCCTGGGGCCTGGCCCTGAGAACTGTTTCAGACTGTTCTCGGATCTGTGGTGAGCCCTAACCAAGCCGCCCCCAGCCTGGTTTCTGCCTAAATCCTCTCTCCTGCCAGCAGCCCGGACGCTTCTTCCCAGACAGGGGCCCCTCTCTAACTCGCCCTGTCTCCCTCCCAAGCCCCAGTTGCCCCCTTGAGGCTCCTGACCCAACCTCGGGGATCCCGGCAACCCAGGCGGCTGCTTCCTCCAGACCACAGCAAGGAGCTGCAAAGAGAAAGGAGTCAAGCCAGGCCGGCCTCCCTGCCCCACCCCCACCCATCCCCCTCTGGCCGGGGCCCATCACACGGGCTGGCGCTGGGCTCCACGGCCTCCCTTCCTCCCTTCCGGCACTTGCCTTTTCCGAGGACCCGACACGGGCTGTGGCTCTCTGGCTTCTACTCCTGCGGTGCTTCCCGACCTCTGGCCTGTCCTCAGGCCTCCACCTGGAATCCGGGGAGCCCTACCCCTTGTGTAAATACAGGAGGGCCCCCCCGGGGGAGGTCCGGCTCACACACTTTCTTTACCTGTCCTCACTCGGGGTGAACGCCCCTCCAGACCCAGGATTCCCGGTGGCGGCGTGGGGGGTTGAGATCACCTCACCTGTTTCCAGGCAGCCTCTCCCTCCCCGCAGCCCTGCCTGCCTGCACCCTGCACTTCCCGGTCCACACCCCGCCCGCCATCCCAGCGCCAGGGAGGGGCACAGGATCCTTTAAGAGGGGCGGGCGTGGCTGACCCAAGGAAGCAGGTGTGGGAACACCTGCCACCTGGCTGTTGGGAAGGAGGCAGGGCTCAGACCCTAGGGGGCAGGGAGCTTCCGGGGCAGTGGGGGCAGGAGGAGGGCTGGTCTTCGCTAGCATGGCGTCCTTGTCCCCAAACCAAATGCATTCTCACCTGCAGGAGCCAATCCCCCAACCCGTCCCCCAGTAACACACACACAGGACTGTCAGCGTTCAAAATCTTTTTAATAAGAGGGTAGGATCCAAGGTTAGTTTTTGTAGCCTCGGCTGGCCCGTCGGCCTCTGGCACGCTCGAACTTCCGGCCCTTGGAGCGGACGTAGGGTCTGTGGGGAGAGAAGAGAGTGAGAGGGGGGCCCTCTTACAAGAAGCCATCATGGAGTGGCACAGGAACCCCACACGCCTGTCACATTCAGCCCCAGGAGAGTCAGTGGCTGCTGGAAAAGCCTGGCAGAGTGGGAAGCCAAGGAGCCAGCAGGGGCTACGGAAGCACCTGTCCCACCACCTGCAGGAGCCCAGCCCGGGCAGCAGAGGCCGGTGAACCGCATGCTCCCCAGGAGATGCCAGCTCAGGCCCTGGAAAACACAGCTCCAAGCAAAGTGTTGAAGGGAAAAGCAGGCGAGATGAGGCAGCTGAGAGTTGCAGAAGGCCTGGGGCTGGCTGACACGAGGGACAGAAGAAGCAGCCCAAGTGTGGCCAGGCCTGGCTCTGCAGGCTGAGTCTAGGCAGAAAGCAGAGCTGGGGGCCTCACACTCACTTGGTGTGGCTGTGCGGGGTTCCTGGGGCCTTGCCGAAATGCCGGTACACCTCTCGGCCCTTGCGAGGACCTAGGGAAGGGGAAGGAGAACCAGCTAAGACAGAGATCTGGTGCCCAGCTTTTGGCCTCTCAGATCCAGGAGAGTGAAGGCTGCCAGTAGCCACACAGCTCACTCCAACCCTGTCGACTACGCGTCACTCACCGGAGAGCAGGACAGTGCCGCAGCCCTTGGGGGAGTCCAGGGCCAGCTGGTCGAAAGTGAGGATCTTGCCCCCGGCCCTGAGGATGCGGCTGCGGGCCCGGCTGGTTACGCGCAGTGCACATACCTGGTGGAGAGAACAAGGCTGGCGGGTCAGACCCATGTGGTCACCCAGGGGCTGCAGGGACTCACCCTCCACTGCCTTGGCGCAGCAGAGCCCTGGTAACCAACACCATCATTTATTACCCGGAGCACCCCGGGCTGCGAGCAGCTGTTCTCAACCCTTTATCTCCAGGAACTTTTAACACCGTATCCCCAGTGTTACGCTAGAAATAATAGCAAGGAAGCTGGGCCAAAAAAAGACCTGCTCAGAGGTGACAAAGGAGTCTAGACTTGAGGCCAGGCTGTCTGGCTCTGGGGGCCAGCCCTAACAGTTTACAACTTGCCCCAGAAGAAGCCTGCCCAGGGGACCCCACCATCAACAACGCCAGAGACGACCCACTCCAACCCTCAAAGTCATTGGGACGGGCAGGATGCTTGCCTCAGCAGAGGGGGCAAGACTGAGGAAGGACGAGCACAGCACAGCACAGGCCTGATGGGTGTGCCCGCCCCCGCCACTCACCTTCAGTTTGGGCACCTCCTGAACCCGCACGTCGTCCGTTATGGTCCCCACAACCACGGCCGTTTTGTTTTCCCGGCCAGGAAGCTTCATCTTCCGGATCTTGGGGTGGGGCGGATGCACATCGTAAGTCCTTTTGGTGTTTACATCCAGCCCCGCTTCAGGTATCCCCAGACCAGGGCAGCCGTGCCCTCTAATGGGACCCCCCACTCACACCACACCCCTTAAACCCCACAGGTCTCCCTCAGGTCCCACTGGGGAAAACTCTAGATAAAAACAATGCAGACTGTTCAACAGGGCCTCCCTCAGCAGGGCCTTTGACATAAAACTCAGTTAATGACTTGGGGCCTTGGGGGAATCTCCTGAAGCCACCAGGACACCCCCACCTCACAATGAGGAGAGGAGGCCCAGGAGCCTCGCCCGCTGCCCATGAACACTCAGTTCCAACCAACAGTCCAAGCTCTCTGCTCGCGGCCGACTGAGACAAACCCGTGATGCCCCGGTTGCTCCTAGAGCTCCAAGTCCCCCATCCTTTCCAGACAGACAAGACCCAGCGGGTCCCAGGTCCACCGCGCTCTCTGGCCAGCCACTCACCATCCGGGAAAGGGACAGAGGCGGCCGGTTGGTGCGACTCATAAACAACCTCTTCAGCACAACCTGGTTGAATGTGGAATTGGTTCTTCTGGCCAGAAACCTATACAACTGGAGGGACGGGAAGAGAGTGAGAAGCTGGGACAGCTGGCTCCCCTGCAGCCTTCCAGTGAAGGGGCAAATGCATGACGATTTGGACTAGAAGAATCTTTATCCCTTTTCCCCAACCCATCAATCTAGAGAGAGAAATCTGGCCCAGGTCGTTCCTGGCCAAGGACCTAGAAAATCCCAGCTCCACTCCCAAGCCAAGCTGTACACAGCCTAGAGGCTGAAAACAAATGCAGGAGGCCCGGGGACAGAAAGGAGACGCAAGCCTGGTGCCAGCACTAGAATGGAGGATCTGTAAGTCACAGACCTGGGGTGACTCTCCCCAAAGACCTCTCAGGGCCCAGCCTCACCTTGACCAACAGCCTCAGGTAGATATCCTGGCTCTTGGGCTCCTTGCGCCGAACCTTTCGGTCCTTGTTGTGGCGGATGTCAACTCCCTGCGGGGGTGAAGAGGCAACCATGGACCCAATTACCCCCAACCATGGCCAATTATTACTTATTTCTGAAACTGAGAGCTGGGTCCCAAGTCCAGCTCTGAACACACCAGCTCAAATCCCAGGCCCACCACAAGGAGACCTCTGGGCTGCCACCGACCCCTCTGTAAAAAGGGGCTACTTACAAAGCCTTCAGCCCATGGCACACAGAACCCCGAAACAGAAACAGCGTAACACAGCAGTCGTGTTAACTTTATATAAAAAGGTTAATTCATTACAACTTGTGTTTTGCAACAATGTTAAGTTCTCAAAACTGGCTCCCATACCTGGAGGATAACCAAAAATATCGAACCAATGGCAGCAATGATGGAAACGAATCCTTATTCAGAACCGAGCACTACTACTAGAACCACCTCTCCTACAATATCAGTCAATCCAACAACCCTTACCAAGTACTGGCTTTTTAAGAAATTGTCTTTGAAGCGGAAACAGGGTCTCACTATATTGGCCAGGCTGGTCTTGATCTCCTGGGCAAGGAATCCTCCAGCCTCGGCCTCCCAAAGGGCTAGCATAACAGGTTTGAGCCACCTCGAAAGGCTCTTACCTCCCTGCTGCCTTTCTGAGTAACTGAAGTTTTTTCAGACTTTGTTCGTAATCATTAAGAACTATTTAAGTTTTAATAGTTCCACTTACTCAGCACTGTGTGCAAGACCCCGTGGTGAGAATTTCCTGTGAATTATTTATTCCCAAATTCGCAAACTTGTCAGATGGGATTATTGTGTACATAACGAACAGCCACACTGGGGCAAAGGCTCAAAAACCATCACAAGGTGGGAAGGGACCTGAGACTCAGAGGCCTCCCTGGTCCCCAAATCGATCCTCCCACCCGACTTTTCATACTACAAAGTGACAAGTCCGGATAGAGGCAACAAAGCCAAGTAACTAAGAGTGGCTGCGGGGCCCGCCAGCCACCTGCGTCGGAATCCTGGCTCCGCCACTTCCTAGCTTTGTAAACCCAGTCATATCAGCCTCCAAGTACCTCAACTTGGTCATCTACTCAATGGGGGCGGTAGGCTAGGACTCTGACCCATCCCTGCTCTCCTGGCCCCCAGAGTACGCCCCCAGTATCGGGAGTTGCCCCCTCCGGGCAGCCGCAGACCCCCTGCCGCCCTCCAGCGTGCCCCTAGGCCGCGACCACAGCGGATGGCAACTGATTGCCCAGCCCCGAACGCCGCAAAGCGCGCTCACCATGATGGCGCCTCCTGCTCCGCCAGGTCCGGAAAGAGAGAACAGTGCCGGGGTGGGCGGGGAAAGCCTCCAGCGAGTGGCGCCGCCGTGACGCACATGGGTGCGACGCGGCGCTCTACCACGACCCGGACTTCTCTGTGGTGAGTTGGATGACTGACTAGTCGGGCGACAACCTCAGAGAGCATAGAGCAGAGGAACAAGCGAAACGTCCAAGAGGGAAGGGCCAGCACGTCGGGGGCCTCTCTGGCCCTACCCGGGCCGTGTTCTCGATAGTTTTCCGGAAGAAAGGGATCTAGGAGCGAGATGTGTGGAGCTAGCACGACGCGTCGCGCTGTGACGCTCTGGCCCGACGCCGACGGCCTCTCAGTGGCTCGCGGAGGACCCGGCGGGCCGAGTGTTGGAGGTGAGGAGGCGGGGCTGGCAGGGCTAGTCGGGGCATCTGGAAACCTCTGACCCCACGCTTCGGGCGTTTCCTTATCAGATTCACTTTTCCCTTATCTCGCGCTACACTTCCTAGGCGCGGCCGCTGCTTGGGAAGTCCTACTTAAGGTCTAACCCGAGATGGTCTTGCTGCACCTCAATCTATAGCATCCTGTATTCCCATCCTATGAGTTCCGCTTCTCCTTCTCCCCTGGCCCCTAGATGGCCCTTTGCTGACCTAGAAAGAGACCTAGAAAGAGGGAGACCCCGTGGCTTGGGGGTGGGGGGAATGGAGGCCCAAAGCGTAGGAAGGAGACCCAGGGAGAAGTAGAGGCAAAGAAAGATGGTGAGATGGGGCCTTGCAAGGCTGTAACCAAATTCAAATCCTGGCTCTGCTAGTTACTAATGGGGTGACCTTGGGCAAGTCACTTAACCTCTCTGTGATCTTGGGAAAATCACTTAACTTCTCTGGGCCTTACTCTCCTTATGGACAAAAAGGAGATGACAACAGGCCTGGCACACAGGAGGTTTTCCAGGATTATGAAAGTTAATAAAACTGCTGAGGTCAGTGTTTTGCACATAATAAGTGCTCAATAAAAATTGGCCTTCACTCCTATTATAGCATACATATTGTGTGCAACCAGATGGACTGGCTGGGGCAGTGATTAAAATGACTTACCAACTCTTCCCCCCGACCCCAGGGAGGCCCCTGTCTCTTGGTTCTCAGGCACATTGAGCCTGGAAGGGTCTCCTGCAGTCGACTCTCAATGCTGCTCCTCACTCACATCTCCTCCACAGAGCTGAAGGTCAGAGCTGAAGTGAGACCTGACTCCTTGCTCCTACCAGCCTACTATGGCTTAAGACCCAAGCCCAGGGTCCCATTGATGTAACAGAGCAGAGGACGAGCAGATGAATGGACTCCTTGAAGCAGAAGAGCAGGACCAGGTAAGGGACCATCTAAAAGCCAAGATCCTCATACTGTGGAAAGACAAAATCCAAAGCTTTTCTTCTTCTTTTTTCTTTTTTAAAAAAAAAGATTGGAGGCCGAGCGTGGTAGCTCACACTTGTAATCCCAGCACTCTGGGAGGCCGAGGCCTGCGGATCACCTGAGGCCAGGAGTTCGAGCTCAGCCTGGCCAACATGGTGAAACCCCGGTCTCTACTAAAAATACAAAAGTTAGTTGGGCATGGTGGTGTGCGCCTGTAATCCCAGCTACTCGGGAGGCTGAGGCAGGAGAATCGTTTGAACCCGGGAGGCAGAGGTTGCAGTGAGCCGAGATCGCGCTGCACTCCAGCCTGGGCGGCAGAGTGAGAAAAAACAGGGTCTCACTCTTGCCCAGGCTGGAATGCAGTGGCGCAGTCACAGCCTACTGCAGCTGCAACCTCCTGGGCTTAAGTGATCTTCCCACCTCAGCTTCCCAAGTAGCCTCCGCCATGCCTGGCTAATTTTTAAATTTTTATTTATTTTATTTTATTTTATTTTGAGGCGGAGTTTCGCTCTTGTTGCTCAGGCTGGAGTGCAATGGCACGATCTCGGCTCACTGCAACCTCCGCCTCCCGGGTTCAAACAGTTCTCCTGCCTCAACCTCCCAAGTAGCTGGGATTACACACATGCGCTGCCACGCCCAGCTACTTTTGTATTTTTCCTAGAGACGAGGTTTCTCCATGTTGGTCAGGCTGGTCTCAAACTCCTGACCTCAGGTGATACACCTGCCTCGGCCTCCCAAAGTGCTGGGATTACAGGCATGAGTCACTGCACCCGGCTAATTTTTTTATTTTTTCTGGAGACTGGGTCTCTGTTGCCTAGGCTGGTCTTGAACTCCTGGGCTCAAGGGATCCTCCCACCTCAGTCTCTCAAAGTGTTGAGCTTACAGGCATGAGCCACCGCGCCCAGCCCGGAAGCCCTTCTATAAGTGATCTCAGACCTTCTCTCCAGGCAGGTGTTGCAGTGGAATAATTCAGGAATCAGAGAGACCGAGGAGTTGAGGATACTTATTATTTATTATTTAGGTGCACCGACCCAGTCAGATTAACATCCAAACAAAGACTGAGCCCCGAACAAAGAGTCAAGTTAGCTTTTAAGCATTTTGTGGGGCTGGGGGAGATCTGTGCACGGGGAAGCATGTTAGAGAAGAGAGAAACAAAGAGTTATTCAATTGAGTCATACATTACATTATTTCTTGCATTTCAAGGAAAAACATGTTTTACGACTTGAGTTTATCCTGTCTAGTGATTTTGCAGCTGCACAGCTAGAGAAACAGGGTCTTCACAATGCCTGGGAAAGGGAGAGATAAGGCTCATTAGCCACAGACAGAAAAACAGGCAGTTAATTTTTAACGGACTCGACCTCTTTCTCTTTCTCAGGGGGAACTGGGTTTTTTACATACAACTGAGTTTTTGCTTACACATTCTTTCTTTTAATTCCTGTTTCAGTGTGAATAGCTTTCTTCCCACATCCCAGACAGGACAGCTGAGGCCAAGAATTCAGGGGTTTCCCAGCAGCCACACAGCAAGTCTGTGTGAGCTGCAGGGTCCTTTCGCCTTTTCCTCCTCCCTGTCCTCTCGTCTTTGGGACTTAGGCTCTGTGTTTGAATCTCAGCCTCTTTGCTCCGTGTCTCTGCCTTTCCTTCTCCCAGGGCCCCAAGCTCAGTTGCTGTGCCCCCTGTCTCAGTCTTACTGGGTTTCTGTCCCCCTTTCTCTCCGTGTCATTCCCTGGCACATACTATCTGGTGCCGTTGCTGCTGTGGGTTGGATGCCAGGTACATGATTTGACAATAAGCAAACTTCTTCCTATATTTATCTTTTTTTTTTTTTTTTTTGAGACAGAGTCTTGCTCTGTCACCCAGGCTGCAGTGCAGTAGAACGATCTCGGCTCACTGTAACCTCCACCTCTTGGGTTCAAGCAGTTCTCCTGCCTCAGCCTCCTGAGTAGCTGGGATTACAGGCGCCTGCCACCACACCTGGCTAATTTTTGTATTTTTAGTAGAGACAGGGGTTTTGGCCCAGTGTGGTGACTCAACGCCTGTAATCCCAGCACTTTGGGAGGCCGAGGCGGACAGATCACGAGGTCAGGAGTTCGAGACCATCCTGGCTAACACGGTGAAACCCCATCTCTACTAAAAATATAAAAAATTAGCCGGATGTGGTGGCATGTGCCTGTAGTCACAGCTACTCAGGAGGCTGAGGCAGAAGAATCGCTTGAACCACGGAGGCGGAGGTTGCAGTGAGCTGAGATCGCGCCACTGCACTCCAACCTGGTGACAGAGCCAGACTACATCTCAAAAAAAAAAAAAAAGAGACAGGGGTTTCACCATGTTGGACTCCTGACCTCACAATCCACCCGCCTCAGCCCCCCAAAGTGCTGGGATTACAGACGTCAGCCACCTCGCCCAGCCTACGGCCTACATTTGTCACTTTCTAGCGAGCTCTGTCCTTGTCTCCTAATGCATATCTCTTTCTCTCTATGCAATTCTGTTTCTAGGTCTCTTGATATATACTTGCCTTTCTTTCACTTTCGCCATGTCTTTGCCTCGGTGAGTCTGGCAACATCTTAACTTTCTGTCCCAGTTTCTCCCAGCCCCTGGGCTTCCAATATTCTCTCCCTCCCTCACCTTTGACCTAGAAATACTGTCCCCATCTCTCTATGTCTCTGTCTTGCCATGTGACTGGGTCATTCACTGGGCAGATGTTTATCTCATGGCGCTTCCATTCTGGTTTGAGCCTGAGGTAAATAAGTCTGAATTAATGAGCCTCTCCTTCCCGGCTTCCATGCCAGAAGTGTCTGTCTCCATGTCTGTCATTTTCAGGGTTTTCTTGTATCCTTACCTTGCACATTCTCAATCCCACTGTTGTGGTCTCTTGTTTATATCTCTGCTTTTCTCTGGGTCTCTCTGACTCTGTAACTGTTAGAAAATAAACGTATCCTTCCCTTTCCCACTCTCTCCTCCCAGCTCTCTTATTGCCTCATCCAGCCTCTCTGGGTCTCTGCCTTGCTCTGTGTCTGGATCTCTGGGCCTTGTTACGCGTGTTAGAGTCTCTGTCTTTGCAGCTAAAGACCTCCTCCATCACGCCCCTTTCTTTTGTGAATTCAATGGATGGGACAGGCCCACTTTCCCTTAACAAAGATGGCGATAACGGCGCTGTCTATGGGGCCGCGACGTCGTCACCGCTGCGCGTCTGCCCTCACCTACGATGGCGGCCAGTCTCCCGAAGCGCGAGGCCCCGCCCAGTTCTCGGCCTCTCCCGGGGCCAGTCCCTGCGCCAAGCTCGCGAGCTGACTGGCTCCACCCCCCGCGCCCTCGTATTGGTGCGGCCCAGGCCGGCTGCACGGCCATTGGCTGAGCGGATGCACACCCTCCCCCCACCCCTAGGTCTGATGGGGGCTGTTGGTGCTGACTTGCGGGGCCGCCTGGAGGAGGAGTCGGCGTGTGAGGAGGGTGCGGGGGTCGGGGCAGGGACCGGAGTCTAGGGGACTGAGGGACCAAGAGGACGCAGGCCTGGGACTGGGGCACCGGGGTGGGAGATGGAAATGAAAAACCTGGGCCGGGACTGAACCCAGGCCTGGGACTGAGTTCTGGAAATAGGGTGCGGATGGCGGCTCAGAGGACCAGGGCCAGACACGCAGGCCTATGGATTAGGGACCAATGGATGGAGACCCAGGTCCAGGTCTCAGTGACCCAGGGACAGAGACCCAGGCCCAAGACTGGAGAACATCTAGGGCCCTATGCTTGAGCCTGATTTGAGGTTCCCATAATGGGGCCAGGGCAGGTTTAGGGGTGAGGCAGACATCCTAGACCGAGGGAGCCGCTGGGGGTAGGGGAGCAGATGTAGTTCCTAAGGGTGAGTCCACAGGCGGGACGGGGAGGGGGTGTCCTGGCGCTCTGGGTCTGGGGAATGTGAGGGGCAGAACTGGCAGGTGGCTGGGCGGGGCAGTGGGGAACAAAGGTGAGCGAAAAGAGGAGGAGGCAGAATCCGGGCAGAGGGCAGGGAGAGGGCCTGGGGGGAAGGGACCTCAGTCCTGCTCCCACCTGCTCCCTGGAGAGCAGGCGGCCAGACACCCAGGTCAGTGCTCAGGGACCAGCTCTTGGCCCCTGCCCCTTGCAGGTGCTTGCATGTGGCTCCTCTCAGACCCCGCAGTCCCTCTGTCATATCCCTTCTCTCCAGCTGTCCCCATGCCTGCCTCCTACCCCTCCTATTTGCTCTGGCTTCCACTCTGTCTTGCCTTTCTCGTTGGGGTGAGAAAGTCTTACTCTCCTAAGTATCTTTCATCAGCCTGGGTTTCACCTCATTGACCCTGTTTGTCTCCTCTCAGTGTTTCTCTGGCTCTCAGACCGTATCTCTATTGCATTTGTGATTGTTTTGCTGTTGTTACCCTCCACACCATGTGGTGGCAGGGGATGGAGGGGGTGTGTCTTTCAGTCTTTGCATGTCTGTTTCTGCATATTCCAATCCCACTATCCATTCCCCTTCCTGTGCCTTCTTTTCCCCCAAAGCCCGTTATCACCACCCAACCCCCTGTATATTTTAATCCTTTCTCTTGTTTATCTGTTCCTGTGAAGGCAAGGATTTGGGACTGTTGTGTTTCCTGCTGTGTTTGCTAGGCCTAGCACCGTGATCGGCACATAGAGGGTACTGAATATGTACTGGGGAATAAATGATTGAATGTTTGCATGCCCGGCTCTCCGGCCCCCTCCAGGATGCTGGCCTCTGTCCTGTATCCTCAAGGTCTGCCCGCACCTGTCAGAGCCCGTCTGTCTCTGGTGCTCCTGTCTCACCTGCCACTGCCCCTCATTGTCTCCTCCTGTCCACAGCCCCTGCCCCTGCCATGGGGTCCTGAACTCTTACTCCTTCTCTCCTCCCTTTCCACAGAGGCCGGAACAGGAGCTGACCAGGAGCTGGGGCCACGGGCCTAGAAGCACCCTGGTCAGGTCTAAGACCATGGCTCCACCCCCACCGCCACTGGCTGCCAGCACCCCGCTCCTCCATGGCGAGTTTGGCTCCTACCCAGCCCGAGGCCCACGCTTTGCCCTCACCCTCACGTCACAGGCCCTGCACATACAGCGGCTGCGCCCCAAACCCGAAGCCAGGCCCCGGGGTGGCCTGGTCCCCTTGGCCGAGGTCTCAGGTTGCTGCACCCTGCGAAGCCGTAGCCCCTCAGACTCAGCAGCCTACTTCTGCATCTACACCTACCCTCGGAGCCGGCGCGGGAGCCGGCGCAGAACCACCCGCACCTTCCGGACAGATGGGGCTGCCACCTACGAAGAGAACCGTGCCGAGGCCCAGCGCTGGGCCACCGCCCTCACCTGTCTGCTCCGAGGACTGCCGCTGCCCGGGGATGCGGGTGAGGCGCTGGGCAGCTGCTCTGTCCTGGGGCCACCTTGGTGACTCTGCAGAATTTCCTCCATAGGCAGCTGTGTCTGTTTTTCTGTGTCTGGGTGATGTATCTCTCTGGATCCATTAGGAGTAATACCCAGGGGTGGGCTACAGAAGGAACAAAAAGACAGAGGGCCGGGTGCGGTGGCTCATGCCTGTAATCCCAGCACTTTGGGAGGTTGAGGCGGGCAGATCACCTGAGGTCAGGAGTTCGAGACCAGCCTGGCTAACATGGTGAAACCCCGTTTCTACTGAAAATATAAAAAATGAGCTGGGTGTGATGCCACGCACCTGTAATCCCAGCTACAGGAGGGTGAGGCAGGAGGACTGCTTGAACTCAGGAGGCGGAGGTTGCAGTGAGCCAGGACTGTGCCATTGCACTCCAGCTTGGGCAACAAGAGCAAAACTCTGTCTCAAAAGAAAAAAAAGGCCGGGCGCGGTGGCTCAAGCCTGTAATCCCAGCACTTTGGGAGGCCGAGACGGGCGGATCACGAGGTCAGGAGATCGAGACCATCCTGGCTAACACGGCGAAACCCCGTCTCTACTAAAAAATACAAAAAAACTAGCCGGGCGAGGTGGCGGGCGCCTGTAGTCCCAGCTACTCGGGAGGCTGAGGCAGGAGAAAGGCGTAAATCCGGGAGGCGGAGCTTGCAGTGAGCTGAGATCCGGCCACTGCACTCCAGCCCGGGCGACAGAGCCAGACTCCGTCTCAAAAAAAAAAAAAAAAAAAAAAAAAAGCAGAGGCAGAGGTCGGGTGCAGTGGCTCACGTCTATAATCCCAGCACTTTGGGAGGCCGAGGCAGGTGGATCACCTGAGGTCGGGAGTTTGAGACCAGCCTGGCCAACATGGCGAAACCCCATCTCTACTAAAAATACAAAAATTAGCCAGACGTGGTGACGGATACCTGTAATTTCAGCTATTTTGGAGGCTGAGGCAGGAGAATCACTTGAATCTGGGAGGCAGAGGTTACAGTGAACCGAGATCACACCATTGCACTCCAGCTTGGGCAACAAGAGCGAAAGTCTGTCACAAAAAAACAGAACAAAAAGGCAGACAGAGAAGTGATTTATATCTGCTGTTCTCTTGCTAGATTTATGTTTCTGTCTCCTGCCCTCTTCCCCTTTGCATGGGTCTTGACCACAGATGAGTCACCCAGGCTGGTGAGAGCAGCAGCCTGAGACAGGACCAGGCACCACCCAGAGTGATGGGTGCCAACAGAGGTCTCCTAGGGCTTCCCTGGAGTTCAGAGGTGGCATCTAATCCTGCCTGGGTCCCCTAAGGGCTGGAAGTAAACTGATCCTGGGTGATAGGTGTTCGGGGTGAGGAAAGTGGGAACCACAGCTCCGAACTACAGCTCTCGTGCCCTCCTCCCACAAGTGGGGACAAAGGGCATTTGGTTTCACACCTAAGCTCTGCCTTTGTCTCAGCACCTGGGTGGTGGGGCAGGGCTGCATACCTAGGCCTGGCCAGATGAGAGCCAGCAGGTGCCAGGTGCTAGCCCTCCACCAATTCTGTAGGGGGCTGTTTGAAGGGACTGTTGCCAAGGTGGGGGCCCTGGGTCGCTGGTCTCTGCAGACCCTAACCTCTCTCCACAGAGATCACCCCTGACCTGCTACCTCGGCCGCCCAGGTTGCTCCTATTGGTCAATCCCTTTGGGGGGCGGGGCCTGGCCTGGCAGTGGTGTAAGAACTACGTGCTTCCCATGATCTCTGAAGCTGGGCTGTCCTTCAACCTCATCCAGACAGGTAAGGGCCAGTGAGAATGGGAGCTGGGGGCTGGGACAACTGAGTCCTAAGGGGGCAAAGTGGTGGGTGGGACTCCTGGGGCTATGGGGCTGGGGTGGGACAGCCTGCCTAACGGCCTGGTATCCCACTTCAGAACGACAGAACCACGCTCGGGAGCTGGTCCAGGGGCTGAGCCTGAGTGAGTGGGATGGCATCGTCACGGTCTCGGGAGACGGGCTGCTCCATGAGGTAGAGCAGGAGCACCCTGCCCCTAACCCTGGGCCCTGGGGCACTGCAGAGGCTGCCACCAGGACCCAGGCTTCTGGTCTCCCACTCTCCAGGTGCTGAACGGGCTTCTAGATCGCCCTGACTGGGAGGAAGCTGTGAAGATGCCTGTGGGCATCCTCCCCTGTGGCTCGGGCAATGCGCTGGCCGGAGCAGTGAACCAGCACGGGGGGTAGGTTGAGAATACCACCAAGGGAGGGATGAGCCCCTCCTGGGGTGATAGGGACCCCTGTATCTCTCACTCAGCCAAACCCACAGTCAGTCAAGTAAATCAGCCTGCCTGGCTCCCAGCTGTATCCCTAGTGCCTCACCCCCAGCTCCTGGACATTTGTGACTACCTGGCTCCCAGCTGTATCCCTAGTGCCCAGAACTCTGCCTGGCATGGGAGGCACTCAGTGAATTGTAGGGAGCAAATGAAAGAGATGACCGGGAACCTGGCCCCGTCAGGAATTGCCTAGAGGTGGCCCCACGGCTGTGGTGGGCCTAAGCCATGGCCTTCCTGGCCTCATTGCCACCTGCTTCCCTGCCTGTCTCTTTCCCCTACCCCTATTTGCTCCTTCTGTGTGTCTGTCCATCTCTGGCTGTGAAGATTTGAGCCAGCCCTGGGCCTCGACCTGCTGCTCAACTGCTCACTGTTGCTCTGCCGGGGTGGCAGCCACCCACTGGACCTGCTCTCCGTGACGCTGGCCTCGGGCTCCCGCTGTTTCTCCTTCCTGTCTGTGGCCTGGGGCTTCGTGTCAGATGTGGATATCCAGAGCGAGCGCTTCAGGGCCTTGGGCAGTGCCCGCTTCACACTGGGCACGGTGCTGGGCCTCGCCACACTGCACACCTACCGCGGACGCCTCTCCTACCTCCCCGCCACTGTGGAACCCACCTCGCCCACCCCTGTCCATAGCCTGCCCCGTGCCAAGTCGGAGCTGACCCTAACCCCAGACCCAGCCCCGCCCATGGCCCACTCACCCCTGCATCGTTCTGTGTCTGACCTGCCCCTGCCCCTGCCCCAACCTGCCCTGGCATCCCCTGGCTCACCAGAACCCCTGCCCATCCTGTCCCTCAACGGTGGGGGCCCAGAGCTGGCTGGGGACTGGGGTGGGGCTGGGGATGCTCCACTGTCCCCGGACCCACTGCTGTCTTCACCTCCTGGCTCTCCCAAGGCAGCTCTACACTCACCTGTCGCCGAGGGGGCCCCCGTAATTCCCCCATCTTCTGGGCTCCCACCGCCCATCCCTAATGCCCGGGTAGCGGCCTCCACCTGCGGCCTGCCCGACCACCTGCTGCCTCCGCTGGGCACCCCACTGCCCCCAGACTGGGTGACGCTGGAGGGGGACTTTGTGCTCATGTTGGCCATATCGCCCAGCCACCTAGGCGCTGACCTGGTGGCAGCTCCGCACGCGCGCTTCGACGACGGCCTGGTGCACCTGTGCTGGGTGCGTAGCGGCATCTCGCGGGCTGCGCTGCTACGCCTTTTCCTGGCCATGGAGCGTGGTAGCCAGTTCAGCCTGGGCTGTCCGCAGCTGGGCTACGCCGCGGCCCGTGCCTTCCGCCTAGAGCCGCTCACGCCGCGCGGCGTGCTCACTGTGGACGGGGAGCAGGTGGAGTATGGGCCGCTACAGGCACAGATGCACCCTGGCCTCGGTACACTACTCACCGGGCCTCCTGGCTGCCCAGGGCGGGAGCCCTGAAACTAAACAAAGTTGGAACCCGCCGGGGGCGGGGCCTACATTCCAATGGGGCGGAGCCTGAGCTAGGGGTGTGGCCTGGCTGCTAGGGTTGTGGTGGCAGCCCGCAAGTGCAAGGGCCCTGGCCCTGTCTCAGGGTTGCGCCCGCCTTCATGGGACCAGACGTGATGCTGGAGAGTGGGCGTCGTCACGAGGGTAGTGCCTGATCAATGAGGGCGGGGCCTGGCGTCTGATCTCGGGACGCCCTTAAGGAGCAGGGCTTAGTCCTGAAGCTAGCCACCTGCTCCTACCCGGCCAGGCTGGCTGAGGGCGGAGCCTGTTTTACGCGTCGCCCAATGACAGGACCTGGAATGTACTGGCTGGGGTAGGCCTCAGTGATTCGGCCCGTCAGGGCCCGCAGCCTCGCCCCATCCACTCCGGTGCCTCCATTTAGCTGGCCAATCAGCCCAGGAGGGGCAGGTTCCCCGGGGCCGGCGCTAGGATTTGCACTAATATTCCTCCCCCCGCGGGTGGGGGCGGGGAAATTCATATCCCCTGTTCGTCTCATGCGCGTCCTCCGTCCCCAATCTAAAAAGCAATTGAAAAGGTCTATGCAATAAAGGCAGTCGCTTCCTTCCTCTCAGACCTTCTGCCCTTCCTCCATCTGACAGCCCGCGGGAGGACTCAGATTCCAGTACTTCCAGCAGCGCCTGCCCTCTATGGACGGCAGCCCGGAGCTGCCCACGGGCTGTAGCCAGTATGCCAGGGAGCTGCCCTCCTCTTCCACAACAGCTGGCTCTGGGGTTCTCAAGATTTATTCAGGATCGTGTTAACGGAGGCGGTGGGAGGATGGGGTCCCTGACGTGCCGGGGACACACAGAGGACCCTCCCCGCCCCCGCAAGGGAGGGGGGAGGTTCGCTTTTTCTTAAAAATATAAATGTATTTATCTGCATTATCACGTCCCTGGGGCACCCAGCTGGCCGGCCCTTGGGCCACAGGGCAGGGAGGGAACAGGGCGTAAGTCTCAGCAAGGCGGAGGAGAGTTCCGCCAGGTGGGGATGTGGGGCAGCCTCACAGGGCCCCGTGTTGGGCCTGGTATCGAGACAGCACGGCGCGGTAGTGGGACAGCTCCTGGCGCACAGCCACCACTTCCTGCCGCAGCAGGGCGTTCTCCTTCTCCAGGAAGGCCGCCCGCACCGATATCTGGTTCTCCTTGAGCCGCCGGGCGTCCCGGGACCGCTTGGCTGCCTCGTTGTTCTTGTACCGGCGGCTCCAATATTTCTCGTCCTGGGGGAGGAAAGGGGGAGGACACTGAGGTCCAGAGGGACCCAGGTCCCAGCGAAAGAGTAAGGGAGCCACAGCACCGGGGCCTAAACCATACCAGGTCTCTGCTGGGATAGATACCCAAGGGTCTGCCTTTCTAGGGCCCTGGTTGCTAAGGAGATTGGGCCCCTAGCAACAGTAAAGACACGAGATAGACCCCCACCCCTTAAGCAACTCACTTTAAGTCTCCATTCTGCAAAGCGGGGCCCCAGCCCTCCCCACATGATAAAGGGCCTGCAGTTAGCTCCTGCTTGCTAAGGATGCTTGTTCCCTAGCAACAAGGCCTTCATGGTCTGAGGGCTTCTCCCGTTGAAAAGCACTGCCCTGCACATCGCCTTTCCAGATCTTGGTTGCTAAGGAAATCTTGGTGCCCTGGTGATGGGGTTTGGTGTCCCATAAAATCCTCCCAGAGCTGGGGCCTTCTGACCTGGTTGCCAAGGCAACCTCATCCATCCTTGGCAAACAATAGTGAGGTCTAAGTGGTTTCAATGGCTGTGGCCAGTCTCTGACCTGCTGACCTTGAACTGAGGCCAGAGAATAGCCTCCTCCCCACCAGGACCTGACTGAGAGAAGAGCTGTCCCTTAGGAAAGGGGACTATCCTGAGACCTCCCCAGAGGATTATACCTGAAGTCCTCCCATCCTGGAAGTTGGTTCCTAAGGAGGACTCCTCCTTAGTAACTAAGGACCACTGGTCTCAGAGAGATGCTCTCCACTCCACCATTTAATTAAAGCCCAGTTCCTGCTTGTGAGGGTAAATCCAGTCCCAAGCAATAGGGCCCTCTAGCAGGAGAAACCACTGGTGTAGATTTGACTTATAGGCCCGTCCTAGCTGCTTCAAGTAGCTATGTCTTGCACAAGGGTATGGCAAAATCTTATTTTTTGAGATGGAGTCTCGCTGTCGCTCAGGCTGGAGTGCAGTGGCATGATCTCGGCTCATTGCAACCTCCACCTCCCAGGTTCAAGCGATTCTCCT